ATGGGGTGCATCTGTCTAGGGATGGGGTGGCAACCCTGGCTGGGTCTCTCGAGAGGGCAGTTCAAAAGATGTCGAAGTCTTTAAACTGCTAGGGGAACATATAAGCACGTGGGGTGGAGGAGACTGCAGTGGGAGCGGGTAAACAAAGTGAAAGGTTACAGGGTGCTAGGAATTATGACAAAACTAAATTAGGCAGGGAGTTAAAACCTAAACGCGACAAAGAAAGGACTCAGAACACGACTTACTTAAATGTCTACTACGCAAACAGTAGAAGTATGAGAAATAAAATGGATGATATTAGGGCCTTGGTATATTCTGAAAAAATCGATATAATATCATTCACCGAAACATGGATAAACCTAGACTCACGTGAGTTACCTGTCGAATACCAAATTTCAGGTTACAAATTATTCCATACCGATAAGCAGATTAGGAAAGGAGGCAGAGTAGCAATCTATGTCAGGGATAATCTGAAGTGTGAAATAAATAAGGAAATCAAAACTGAGCTGATTACAGAAACAATTTGGATAGAATTAATCGATGATAGGGAAAAATTAATCACAGGATTATTATATAGACCTCCTAATCTTGATAGAGTTAATGAGTGACTTATTTGGGACGAAATGTGCAGGGCTTCCATACATAGCAAAGTTTGTATAGTAGGCGACTTTAACTTTAGCCAAATAGATTGGATTGACCTTACGGGTAACTCAGGCTTGTCTTGAAATGATCCAGGACTGTTTCCTAAGTCAACATATAACCGAACCCGCCCAGGGTAATAATATACTCGATTTAGTTCTGTCGAATAGAGAAAACTTCATTAGTAATGAGGTAGGGAATAAACTTGCAAACAGTGATCACCAAGAAATTAGATTCCAGTTAGAATTTCAGGACAGCCCTAAGGAAAATTCCACTAAAGTCCCAGACTTCAGAAGGGCAAACTTTGATAGTTTGAAGAGGCAGCTGAGAGAGGGGGGTATCACGCTTGGGGGTGAACTACATGAACTCACATGAGGTGACCTCACTCAATGTACCCACAGAGGGTGACCTCATCCTACCCAGAGACCTGATGGTTGAGATTGACCTGATAACGAGATCTGAGGTTGACGAGATCCACGACAATTTAAATAATGAGTTACTTAATGCACAAAGGCAGAACATAACATACAAAAAACCCAGATCAAACAACAATGACCCTAAATGGATAAATAATCATTTAAAGGACATTATTGGACAAAGGAAGGCTATAGGTAGGAGAATAAATCGTGGTGAAGTTTACCTCCGAGATTACTATAAGGTATTGGCCGGTAGGGTTAAGACCGAGATAAGAAAAGCCAAGAGGAATAATGAACTGAAGGTAGCAAGGGAGGCGAAGACAAACCCCAAGGGATTCTATCAAATGTATCAAACTAAAACATGAGAAAAGATTGGACCAATACAGTCAGATACTGGGCAGCTGACTGATAACGACGGAGAAATGAGCAATAATCTGAATAAATATTTTTCAACAGTTTTCAACAAAGAAAATTTAAACATGATACTCGCGGCTCCGACTCTATAGAGAGATAGTGAAGAAAATAGATTAAGAGAGATGGTAGTGACTAGAAACGATGTTAGTAAACAAATATTTGCCAGAATATTAAAGGAATGTAAGGAAGAACTTAGTGTGCCCTTAGCAAAGTTGTTTAACATGTCCTTAAAAACAGTAGAAGCACAAGTTGATCAATGACTCCCAACATGGCTTCACAAGCGGGCGTTCATGTCTAACTAATCTTTTAACATTCTTTTCATCAGTTTTCGAATCAGCGGACGAGGGGCACAATTATGATGTGTGTATATCTCGACTTTAGCAAAGCCTTCGACAGTCTCCCACGAAAGACTAATAAATAAAGTGGAGGCTCATGTCATAAAAGGTGATATTCTAAAATGGATTAGGGTGTGGCTACAGGACAGGAAAAGAGTGAGTATTAACGGAACTAAATCCCATTGGAGCAATGTCACTAGTGGAGTTCAGCAAGGATCAGTACTTGGACCATTATTATTTATTATATACATAAATGACATAGATATCGACGTAGACAACAACATAAGTAAATTTGCTGATGGCACTAAAATAAGACGTGTAATTAAATCTGACGAGGACTTCGCAAAACTACAGGAAGATCTAAACAAATTTTTCGAATGGTCTTGTAGTGGACTTCTCCCCTACAACTGCATATCCGCATTCCAATGCGACAGTATCCTAGCAACCAAACGAGCGGCCCAGGGTGGGGGGCGTCACCAGATGCCACAGTATCCTAGCAACCAGCCACCTGCTACGTCTTCCCTAGCAAAGGAGTCAAGAAACCGGCGACTTCCCACGGATTTACTTCCGGCTGCTGTGTATATAAGCTCTGTCTCTCCATTGGGATTCATTCTGGCCTCGGTTTCTGAACACGCAACACCTCCTCCTCCGCCGCTGCCTGGCGGCCCTCGCTTCTCCTCCGCCTGCCTGGCGGTCCTCGCTCCTGCCGGCGAGCATGGCGACCCACCAGCTGTCCTTCTCTGAGCGTCCTCACCAACCAGCTCTCTTATTCTACTCTACGTTCCTGAACACGCAACACCTCCTCCAAGCAAGCTCCTCGCTGTCCCGCTCTCATTCAACCTGGAGGCCAGCAACAGTCTGAAAAATGGCAGATGAAATTCAATGTGGACATATGTAAAGTACTTAGTATAGGAGATGTAAACAGGGAAACCAGATACCAGATGAACAACGATGTTACTGAGAAATCCGACTGCGAGAGAGATTTAGGAGTAATGACAAGTAGGAATCTTAAGCCAAGTGAACAATGTGTATTTTCTCGAAGCAAGGCTAATAAAGAACTTGGGTTCATACGAAGGAGTGTTAGTTACAAGATTAGCGAGGTCATCTTAAAACTAAATTTTGCCCTTGTGAGACCTCACTTGGATTACGCAGTTCAATTCTGGTCACTGTACAGAATGGATATAGAATCCTTGGAAAGAATTCAGAGGAGAATGACAAGACTAATCCATGGCATTAGGAACCTTGAGTACAGAGACAGATTAAATCATCTTAATTTGCACTCCCTCGAGAGATGTAGAGGTGTATAAATGGAAGTCAGGGCTAAACAAGGGGATATTACAAAGGTACGCAAATTATCCAACCAGGAGCCAACTCGTAACAATGGTTTTAAATTAGACAAATTTAGATTTAGGTGCGAAATAGGTAAACATTGGTTTGGAAATAGAGTAGTGGACGACTGGAACAAGTTACCAAATATCATCTTTAACTCGAATACGCTGGATAGCTTCAAACATAGGTTGGATTAATATATGAGCAATAGGGGTTCGGTGTAAATGGGACTGCCCAGTATGGGCCAATAGGCCCGCTGCAGTTTCCTCCATTCTTATATTCTTATGTTGAGTACAGTCTCTTGGAAATCATTGTGGAGGAAACACCTTTGGAGAATGGTGTGGTAACTTTTAAAAGGCTGTGAATGGCCTACCCACAAATTCCTGGATCCAACCCTGCCATGTAATGACTATTGCAGGAATCCCAATATATTATGGGGTTCTGGCCAATGCAACAAATCCACCAACAGTTTTGAGAGACGCAGATAGAGTTCGGCCAACCGGGCGCCATGTTGTTACTAGCTGATTTTTTAATTATTATTGGCAAAGCTTGTAGTACAGTTTGCCTATTCTGAGTAATTCAGTCAGGTCTTGACACTGAGGGTGGTATCACTTCTCACTGCCACGCAGGACAGAGGCTCATACACAAAGAAATACATCATATTCATTAACAGCTATAAATGTATAGAGGTCAGAATAAGACCTCAGATTCATATGGGTAATGTCACTGTTCACTGCCATGCAGGACAGAGGTTTGTACACAAAGAGATGCATCATATTCATTGACAGTACATATACATACAGTATATGTACACACACACATACACATATACATACATATACACATATACATACACATATACATGTACATATATATACACATATGCACACATACACACATACATACACATATACACACATACATACACATATACACACATACATACATATACGTCGGTCAGATTCATGTGGATAATGTCACTTCACTGCCATACAGGACAGAGGTTCGTACACAAAGAATGCATCATATTCATTGACACTATATATAGGTCAGATTCATGTGGGTAATGCCACTGTTCACTGCCATGCAGGACAGAGGTTCGTACACAAAGAAGGAAATACATCATATTCATTAGCAGTATATATAGGTCAGTGGATCACATACATTGGAGTCATATTCTAATTGAAGACTAATCAGTGTGGGCTAGCAAATTTGGGATAAACAGCAAGAATGTCCTCATGCACACCTGATTCAATGAAGTAATTACATAGTTCAAGATACAGTAAGTCAGGTGACCTGAAGTCTTTGACAGTGTCACATTCAATAATATAGTGTTCAAGTGTATGCTTTAAAGGTTTATCACAAAGTTTACATGCTGAGTGTTCCGGTATGGGTACAGCGTTTCTAACTTGCCAGATGTGTCTGTATCCTTGCCTAATTCTGGCCACGACTAACTACATCACATTGTCTGGTTCTGTCCTTATGCTGGCCATACCGGTACCTCTTGTCACAAAATTTGTCATATTTACTAATGCTACAACTTGCTGATAATGAAATTTGAGCTCGTACTGTAGATTGTGATATTGTTAATTAAGTAAAATATTCATACATGATTACATTTGAATAAGCATGTTTATAAACTGTGTGGGAGACAGGTAGAGAGCTAAGAAGACCGCACGGCTGTGTAACAGGATGGCGCTTGGTATTACATTTCATTAAAAAAATATGCAAATTATTTTCCTCCCAATTCATATAACTATTTAGAAAATAAGTAAAATTATTTAATATAAATATTAATTTAAAATTAAACGGAAGAGAATACTGTGTGTAATAATATTGTTATTTTGAAATTTTTGTTACAGATCGTGACCGAGGACTGGTGGCGACGGAGTTTGTTGTTAACGGCCGACGGTCGACACGTTGAGCTGATCAACAGAACAACAACGTCTACAGTGGTCTAGTACTGTGCCTTAACGTGATCACCTGCAGCATAACAACAATGTCTACAGTGGTCTAGTATTGTGCCTTAACGTGATCACCAGCAGCATAACATAACAACAATGTCTACAGTGGTCTAGTACTGTGGTCTTAACGTGATCAACAGCAGCATAACAACAATGTCTACAGTGACCTACAGTGGTCTAGTATTGTGCCTTAACGTGATCACCAGCAGCATAACAACAATGTCTACAGTGGTCTAGTACTGTGGTCTTAACGTGATCACCAGCAGCATAACAACAATGTCTACAGTGGTCTAATACTGTGGTCTTAACGTGATCAACAGCAGCATAACAACAATGTCTACAGTGGTCTAGTACTGCGGTCTTAACGTGATCACCAGCAGCATAACAACAATGTCTACAGTGGTCTAGTACTGTGGTCTTAACGTGATCAACAGCAACATAACAACAATGTCTACAGTGACCTACAGTGGTCTAGTATTGTGCCTTAACGTGATCACCAGCAGCATAACAACAATGTCTACAGTGGTCTAGTACTGTGGTCTTAACGTGATCACCAGCAGCATAACATAATAACAATGTCTACAGTGGTCTAGCCGATCTTTTGGTGAAGAATATAAATGAAAAGAGACGTGACCGATCGCCCAAGCGGCTAACAAGCCGATCAGTGGCGAAGAGGATAAAAGTAAAAGTAAAAAGTACTGTGGCCTTAACGTGATCACCAGCAGCATAACAACAATGTCTACAGTGGTCTAGTACTGTGGTCTTAACGTGATCACCAGCAGCATAACATAACAACAATGTCTACAGTGGTCTAGCCGATCTTTTGGTGAAGAATATAAATGAAAAGAGACGTGACCGATCGCCCAAGCGGCTAACAAGCCGATCAGTGGCGAAGAGGATAAAAGTAAAAGTAAAAAGTACTGTGGCCTTAACGTGATCACCAGCAGCATAACAACAATGTCTACAGTGGTCTAGTACTGTGGTCTTAACGTGATCACCAGCAGCATAACATAACAACAATGTCTACAGTGGTCTAGCCGATCTTTTGGTGAAGAATATAAATGAAAAGAGACGTGACCGATCGCCCAAGCGGCTAACAAGCCGATCAGTGGCGAAGAGGATAAAAGTAAAAGTAAAAAGTACTGTGGCCTTAACGTGGTCACCAGCAGCATAACAACAATGTCTACAGTGGTCTAGTACTGTGGTCTTAACGTGATCACCAGCAGAACAACTTAACAACAGTGTCTACAGTGGTCTAGTACTGTGGCCTTAACGTGATCAACAGCAGAACAACTTTAATGGTTTGTGGGCCTCTGTGATCACCCTATTCAAGATGTCTGACAGTATTAAAGAGTTATTTGTGAGCATTTATGGCGGGCCAATATATTTCACAATGAAAGCTTGCGCTGAGAAAAAAGAACTTCAACAGCTCATTAGTGTAAGTACAGGATTTACTTTATACTTGTTATTATTATTATTATCGGTGAATTTATAGTATTACACCGGTCTCTTTCACTGTTATTAATATGCATTTCGTATTGTGGTAAATTTGCTTTGTCACACCGTTCTCTGCTAGAAAGTCAAAAATATATTTTTCTAGTGTATTTGTGTGTGTTTAGACCGAATGTGACCTTCATTACTGGGGGAAACTAGCGGTTTTTTTTTTTCAAATTTTTTTCGTTGGACGTTTTCCGAAAAAAATCATGGCAAAATACACCAAAAAACACTAGAAAAACAAAAACCTAACCTAACCGACTCTCACCATATGATGGAATCACCTATTTCTTACCTTATTTGCTTGGTTCTTGTTCGTTGTTAGATTCTGGGATTCTTACACAACGCCACATATGTTGGTCTTTGCGATATTTACATTCAGTCTTGCTCTTAGTACACTTTACTGAGGAACACCATGCGATCGAAAAAATGCAACAGTTTCTTCGCATTTTTCCCCAAAACTCACAATCAGCTCCATATAATTGAAGTGACTCCAATCGCAGACTGCCATGGTCAGAACTGAAGTTACTGAACTTGAATTTCGAAATATGAGAGACCCAAATTAAAGCTCAAATTTGATTGGGCCAAATATACCGCGAATTAAACCCCAAATCATTTTAATTGGTTTAAAAAACAAAAACGCTTTTGATTGGCCGCGTGACGTGTACGGGAACGCATGCGCGTGATGATTTATGAAGGAGACGCAGGAGACACACACTGTTGGAGGAGAGGCAGACGATAATGGCGGAAGGTTAATGGAAGAAAATAGAGAAAATTTTGGATAAGCTATCTCCGTTATTATACATTTCCGCCGGTAATGTAATAGATGAAAATTATCTTATAATTAGACGTCTTATTCGAATATGATAATAGATTAGTGGTAGGAATGAACGGTGTGTAAACACAATAATACCTGTATTGTTTTAGACAATTCTAAGACATTTTTCTTCTATGATGTTTCCACCGGAAATTAAGGATAACCGAAATATTATATTTTCAATATTATTACATTCGCTGAGTCACAAGTTTTGCCATGTCTTGTTTACTTTTGGCGGAGTGGGCGGAACCCCCCCCCCCCCACGGTTAGGTTATGTCTGGTAAGGTTTGGTTTTGTTGGTTGGTTGGTATTTTATTTATGTGATTTATTCAAAGAAAAAATCTGGTAAAGGTGCAGAAGGACTTAATGAAACCACCAAATTTTCAGATGTTGTTTGGATAATACTGAGTAATAAAATCTACAGTATGTGACAACATTGTACGGGAGTATTTTTTCTCTTTAGCCTATCCTTTGATCATAAATTACTTGTTAGTGGGCAGGGCATGGAAGAAGAGGAAAATAATGGGGGAAAAAACACTGAATACTGATCATATGGCAATAATTTCGTGTCTCTGCGTCCTTTGTAGGCGAGGAAATAAAATATTTACCGTAATACCGTACTGTCAGATCTCCCGTCGTAACCACGTTTTGGTTCACATCGTCGGCTGTGCGGGAGCGCCCACCGTCTCTGTTTACGTGTTATGAAATAAGCAGCGATCTCATCGAGCGTGTTTATTACAGTTTATACGGGATTAAATACGTTCATTTTTTCTAGAGACGTTTTGATAATAGTAAGGAAGAAAATCAAAATGACAATGCAAGGTTAGGAAGTTAGGGGTTGATATTGACAACTGACCCGCTGATGCATTAATTTTTATGTTTACTTTCTTACAAAATATGCATCATTGAGTTCTAATATGATAATAATTTCTTGTGCAAATGGTAGATATTTAGGCACCTAAGCCACTCACTACTATGTCTTCTCAGTGGTGACTTCTCATCCCCATATATAATCAGCCAATCATATTGACCAATTTAAAAACACATCGTGGAGCATCTTTCCGCTTTCCTGCACGCCATAGCCGCTGGTTTCATTTTCGGCGTGGCGTGTGAAGGTTGTCGCCGGTCATATGTGGTTTGTGAATTTGGGGAGACGGACGACCGGACCCTTCGGTTTTTCAAAGACCACGGCACCCTTCATTTAAACAGAGACTGCCCAGACTGCAGGAATCCCTGTTGTACAACAAAGGAGGAATTTGTTCCAGTGCAACAAGAAACATTAAAGAAAAACAAGTAGCTGGAGCGTTGTGGCTACAGTTCTTGTGTTTATAAAAGAACTTGGCTTGAAAATGCCAAGATTAAACCCAGTGTTGTACAGTACAGTCGGCCCTTAACATACGCGGGGGTTAGATAACAGAGATACCTGTGAATGTTAAAAATCTGTGTACTATTGCTGCCCTCCCCCCTCCTAAAAAAAACCCTGGCCCCCCCATGTCCTTATTTAACGTATATACCTGTGTGTAGTTCGAGTTTTTAGGCCAAATTATTTGGCAAAAAATTGGGGGTCAACCTCTAAACGGGTAATAGTTTCGTTAGGTTGAAAAATATTTACCAGTAACTACCAGTAAACAATGGAAACGACACACCAACGCACCACCAGCTGTGAGTGTCGGTACAGTTGCCAGGGCAGATCTCTTGCGTCATCATAGCAAGCCCAAAGTAGCCAAATGCATGGTATGGTAGCACAGGACGATGTAAAACATAAAGTTATCATTTTTTAAAGTTTATTTATAGATACTGTACATAAATTTTTGTTCATTACATTTGAAACACCAATCTTTGTTAATTAAATTTGAAACAAAAGAAAACTACGATACGGTATTTTCATTAAAATATTACATCACAAGTATATTTTACCTTAACTGTGACTGAATGAATATATTCTCAGAAATAAATATGGAAATGTAATACTTTGGCTGAAATGACATACATATTACAGTGGAAAGTGGGATAAAATCATGACGAAAACAATGACGTAAGCTTTCTTTCGTTGTTCAAAAGATTTTACCATAATCGCTTTTTGAATGGTTTTCAGTTAAAAAACTGTTGTACTGTATTACAATAATATTCTATCCTCTCATTAGCCTCATAATCCCACAACTGAAAACCATTCAAAAAGCGATTACGGTAACATCTTTTGAACGAAAGAAAGCGAAAGTCATTGCTTTCGTCACAATTTTATCCCACTTTCCACTGTAATGCGTACGTCATTTCTGCAAAAATATTACATTTCCATATTCTCAGAAATAAATAGTAGTTTTGTTGAAATGCAATGTACAGTATTTAATATTAAAATGCAAAAAGAGCTATAAAAACAATTAATACTGTAATGTACTGGCTGGCATCTCCACTCGTCCCTGCTCCCGCTGGTCACCACTCCTCCCTGCTCTATCCCTCCGCTTCTCCACATCGTCACTACTGTTGTATTACAATAATATTCTATCCTAATTCACTTGAATAAATACTACGATACCACATTTCTGAATATTTTCATTAAAATCCATCAAAATCATTTTCCTTGTCATCGTCTTCAGCACCAAACAGCTCCTCCCAGTCTTCTCCTTGAACAGGACTAGAGGGTACAGTCATTTCTGCTACAACGCGTGTTTTGTCAACGCGAATTGGCTATAACGCGATTGATGAATAGAAGAACGATATTTGTAAAATGCGAACGTGTGTTGGCTGTAACACGATTCCACTCGAACATTTTAAGTGTACTGTCGCTTGGCGCGGGGTTATGCAGTGTTTACAGTTCACGTTCGACATTACTTGTTCAATTGATTCACGTGTTTTGTTTGTGAAGTGTTATTTGATAGGGAATCTATAAATTTCATCCTTTTTTTTTTCAAATTTAGCTGTTCCCATAAATACTGTATGAATAAAATAAATAAAAATAATGTTTCGCAGTGTGGACTAATAGCGTTTTAAACTCGCGCTCTCTGTTTCCATCACACGAACAGTTGAAACACGTGGGTTGTTTTGAAGCGTCCTCAGTGATTTTTGCAAACTATTTCTCCAGTTTTGTGGTATTAACTGTGTTACATTTACTGAATGATTTCATTATTAGATATGAATGTAACATTTATTTAAACTGTGCTATCTTTTGTGTTAGGCTAACTACTAATTTTTTTTCGATTTCAAGTAATCTGCACCTAACCCTATTTTCTCCATAAGCCCTGTTATTTCTATTGCGCAAATTTCTACAACGCGAGGTTTTACAAGAACACAACTATCGCGTTGTAGCAGAACTGACTGTACGTGTTTTTTTAATCGTTTTCAGTTAAAAAACTGTTACATCACATGTATATTTTACCTAAACTGCGCCTGAATTAATATATTCTCAGAAATAAATAGTAGTTTTGCTGAAACATGATGTATTTCAATGTAAAATAGGATAAAATACATGACAAAAAAAAAAGACTTTACCTAACCTTCCGATGTTCAAGATATGTTACTCGTTTTTTTAATAGTTTTCGGTTAAAATACTGTTCTGTTAGTGATATTCTATTCATACTGTGCTTGATATAATACATTCACGGAAATGTAATATTTTTGCAACTACAATGCTGATGTCAACACAAGCGTGGGGTGACGACGCTCTATGCGTGTGTGTGTGAGGTAGCGGGAGATGTGCAGTGTTCGGTGCCGCGCGCTGAATGGTGCGTGATTTGAATGTACTTCAATTACTTCAATGTACAGAATATTCCTCCGGCGGGGCAATCCGTGTATTTGCGAATCCTTGAATGCTAAACCCGTGTATGTGAAGGGCCGACTGTACTCTTATTTATAAACGTTTTTCTAAGAAAGTACTTTTCACAGCAATACTGTGAAATTGAACTGGCATTGTCTGCTAAGTCTGTTGTTGACTGGAAACAATTCTGCAGTAGGTTCTTTATACACTGGATGGAAACTCAGGAACCTATTGGTGGCCAAATAAAGTATTGAGAGATTGATTAAAGTAAATTTGACAGAGTAAATTCCAACACGGCCACTTAGTGAAGGGTGTCTGGGTGTGGTGGCATCAAGCGTGAATTGGGCCGCACGTTCATTGTGCCGTTTTGAAAAAA